TGCTCTGCCCTCCCTCTTGCCTCTGAAAGGTGCTGACAATCCCAGCCCTGAAGCCAGTGCATGTGGCTCTAACAGTGGTCAATGCCCAGAAGAGTGTCTTTGTGATTTGGGGCCTCAAGGCTTCACAACATTGGGTTTTACTCACAATACTTTTGAGAACACAAAACCTCTGGACGTCCAAGAAAGATGTCAGCAGGAGAGCAGTAGCATCCAGAGCCTTTAATTGCCTGTCTACAGGGCCTTTAGAGCCCTCAGCACAGACAAAGCAACTTGAGACATATAAACTGAAAAACAGCCTCAAGGAATTTATGCTCTAACAGGGACATAAAACAAATCTATGTTCTATTTGGACATGTGGCAGGACCACAGTGACAATGACAAAAGGTGCATTAAGAGGAAGAGCTGAGAGAAGAATGAACAGGTTAGACTGGAGAAGAGGTGAGGTTAATTAAGGAAGGCGATGAGGCGACCTCAAACACTTATGCTGAGAAGGGTAAGGGAGAGGAGAGCCAAGGCAGGTAGAAAAAAGGACTTTGTCTCCTGGACACAGTGCAGCCTGGGGCACAGCCTTGCAGAGAGGGACTGAAAGACTTAAAGAGGAAGGAGAAGCCTCAGTGCCTGGAAGGTGCAGCACTTGGCAAGGCCAACCGAAAAGAGAGCAGTGAACGGGGGACATTGCACAGACAGAGAAGCAGCAGCTCCTCGGGGCTTCAGGCAAACAGGCAATTCCGTGCATAGAAATCCTGAGGAACAAGTTTGCTTTTTGTACAAAGCACATTTCATCTCCCTCACTCCAGTACTTCCCACCTTCAAAGGATCTTTCAAGTATGATGGTGTCGGAGAGGTAAGATCTAGGCAGCACCTACAGAAAATTGCCAGAGGATCAAGAAATCACCTAGTGGCTGACCCAGGCAGGAGAGATATTGTAGAGAATCCACTGGGACGGTCTTTAGTCTGGTCTTGCAAAGTCCCCGCTCATTTTTTGCTGAGTGGACAATAAGCAACTAGGCTTACAAAGCCACAATGTATTGAGGAAAGAGCTTCCTACACTGCAGTCCAACTCCAGCCCAGGCCCAGGCCAGGCATGGGGCACTGCAGGGTGGAATGAGGTTCAAATGTGGTAAGAGGGCAGAGGAACACAAAACAACTGTGAGGGGTAAGAGAGGGTCACAGAGGTTCCCAAACACCCTTTCTAAGACAGTTCTAGAACTGTGCGGTCTCTGAGAAAAATTTGAAACCAGCCTGGTTAAGGTTGGTTTCTGATAGATCTGTTCACACTAAAGTGAGGACACAAATCTCATAGCATGAGACCCACCTGGTGATGGTCTAAGTCTCAGCAAATATTTGTAGATTATACAGAAGCAAATCAGAGGGCACAGTGGCCCAGAACATGAATTCACTGTTGGGTAAGCACCCTTGGACACCTACTGAAAGTCCAGGATCTCTTACAGGAGCTCTTTATTTTCTACCAAAAAAAAATTCAACAGTGGAAGCAGAGGGGCTGCTCCTAGCCGCCTCACCTTGTTTCTCCGGGAAAGTCTCCTACCCCCTTCCATCCCTGCATTAAAACAAAACCGAAGTATGGTGAGCAGACTGCTACTGAAAGCCTTTCCACTACTACCACCTCCTGAAAAGGTGCAGACTTGTTTGCATGGGAAGAGAGAAGGATGTGAATGACAACAGTCTTCTGTAGGGATCTAGGACTGGGCTTGGTTCTCAGATTGGCTTCTAACCAGCTACAGGCCAGGAAAAGAGCTTAACCTCTCTCTGATTAATGGATTTCCTATAAATCTGGAAGAAACAGCCCAGTGCATAGGCAGTATCAGCTAAAAATGGTTGTGAAGGCGCTCTCCAGTCCTCACAGAGGACAGGCTGGGAGAGAGGAGGGCTGAGGCTTCCATGTGGTCAGATTTGTTATATGGTCAGTTTGCCACAATCCTCTTCCTTCCTCTGGAAAACTTCAAAAAGCAGCAGCTGACCAGACCCTAAGAGAAGACCCTGAACCATCAGGGGTCACCATCCTGGATGCCAGAGAAGGGAGGGAATGTTTTTGTTTAGCAAGGCCCACGAAGGTAGATGACTCCAGGAGAACCGAGAAAGAAGCCAAGAAAGTAAGAAAACTGCACTCCATGGAGGGAGCTCCTGGGTGTCAGGGGTCACGAGATATCTCCATTCAAGGCTGCACAGAATGACCTTCTATTCACCACAATTCATAGAAAACTTGTGGAATTGGTTTCTGGAGGCCTGTCTCAAGTCTTGAGAGCTAGAGAGAAAAGGGAGAGAGAGAAGTGGAGAGAGCAGAGCTTAACGCCTAATCAATGCCCACTCACATTCGAAAGGCCCAGCCTGACCCATCGTAAGTCCCAGGGCAAAGCTATGCAGAGTTGAAGCCAGAGGACAAGCCCAGGGCTTGTAAGTACACATGACCTTGGGCTCAGGGCTTGCAAAATAGGAAGAAAGGTAATCCGAGGTCTTAAACCCGCTACTGAAATTCTTTCAACCTGTAGGGGAAGGAAACAACACCAAGATGACTGAGGCCAAGGACTCAGGGATGGAAGTCAGAAACAGGGCCCGGAACTCAAGTTGAGGAGAGCCGTGAGCACACGCATGTATCTGTGTGATGACAGTCACTTCTGTACATCTCAGACAAGGACAATATGAGAGCCCAGGACAAGAGAACAAAAACCATCACAGGAAAATGGCTTCCAAATGAAAAGCCTTTGGGGGAAGGAGGAAGCTGAATGGGACAGAATGGTTTCTTAAGAGTGAGACTAAATAGGCACAAATATCTGCTTACTTTGGCCATTGTGCATACTCTTTGGCCCATTGAGACATCACCTGGTAGGCAGATCGTAAAACTGTACATGGGGTGGGCTAGAAGTGAAGAAGACAGTCTTCTGCATGTACCACACACAACAGGATTTTCATGAGCTATATGTTTTCCTATGTTTATCGCTGCATTATTCATAATAGCCGATACAAAAACAACCCAAATGCCCATCAACAGATGATTACATAAAAAAGATAGGGTACGTATTCCATAATTATTCAGCTATAAGAAAGAGAGATATCCTCCCATCAGCAACAACATGGCTGGATCTTGGCCATATTATTTAAGTGAGACAAATCAGAGAAAGACAAGTACTGTATGATATCACTTATTCAAGGAATCTAAAAAAATTAAAGATTTAAAACACAGAGTAAAATGGTGGTTCCTAGGGGTTGGGGGTGGGGAGGATAAGAGTGATGGTGTTTAAGGGTACAAAAAAAAAAAAAAGATAAAAGAAACCTTGAACAAACAGCTGGGTGTGGTCTGCACAAACTGGTTCTCAAGGCCAAATCCTTACTTCCTTTGTCTATTCACAAGAGTTAAAAAAAATGACTGCTTTCTCTTTGTTGATCTTAACAGCAAAGGCACTGCCTTAGCGAAGTCAAAATGGCAGCCATTTTTTGTTTGTCCACATTCATAGATGGAAGCAGGTAGGCAGAATATTGAAAATAAGCAAATTATTCCTGTTTCACTTTGAAAAGAATTATATGACTTGTTTTACAGAACTAGTAACAGGTTTTGCTTCCTAGTCGAGGTCATTATTAAAGTCAGTTTATAGTACCCAAGCCCACACTGCACAGAGTTACTGCATAATTAATAATGAACAGTCCACAAGATGGGTGCTCTGCCCTGCAGGACATCACAAATGAACATGCCAGAGAATATGATCATGAAAACTCCTGTGGGATCAGGCCTCTGGGCCAGCATGCATGACAACAGGACAAGAAACTAAGTCAGCATTCTCACTTTAGGGAGTCTGAAGCCCACCTATTTCCGGGTCTTCTAAAAAATGGGATATGCTTTTAAAATCACATAGCACAAAGCCAAGTAGTCCTCAAATCTTTTTTTTGTTACAAGTTGCAGAGCCCATCATCCAAATGAATATGTAATAAAGAAAGATAAGAAACCAATAAAAGTGGTTACCTAAATAGGATGGGGCAAAGGATGGAGGGAGCAGGAAGAAAAGCAAACCTTTTTATATAGTTTGACTTTTGAAGCACATGGAGTATCTCTTCAGAAAAAGTAAAACAACTTTTGAAGTTGGAAGAACATAATATCTAACAGCTGACAGTGGAGAGCTCTAGCAGAAGGTGGTGGGAGGGGTGATGGGCAGAGCCCGCCACTTCCTCACCCAAGGAGTCTTGGTGTGTCTTTCTGCACTGGGACACCACTGGCCTGACCCAATCCTTTATTTTCTAGTTGGAAAACTAAAGCCCAGGGAGCTAGGCTCTCCCTCGGGGTTTCTCTTTCCATAGGCCATATTCAGGAAGAGCTAAATGCACTCCCCAGAAGAAAAAATACACCCACCCAATCCTTTTGAAAGATTTATTTTTTAATTAAAAAATAAAAGTTATCTTAACATATCTGAATTGCAGCTTCATGAATGGCAATTTAATGAAGCAAGAAAAACAAGGCTTGTCAGCTCTTGAGTCACCTGACCATCTTATATTGGGTACAAAGGCACACGTCTTCAAACTAACTTTATTCAGAAACAATTCTAGTAACTCAGAACTCCCTTCCCCTAACTTTTTGCCCACCCTCACCAACCGCCCCTCCCCCCAAAAACAACCAAAACATTAAATTCTCTTTTAAAACTACAGAAATAAGTGCTGAGTCAGCAAGGAACGTGGGCAAGCTGCCCAAGTCCTCCATATCTCTCTGCTTTGATGACTGGCACCCAGAGGCTGGCAGGGAGAGAGCCGCAGCCCTCCTCCACCACTTGCCAAGTGGGGCTTATACCCAGCCCCATAGCCATCACCCCAACTGGGGTAGGCAGTTCCAAGGCACTGTTTCCCTTCATCAAGAGCATCCTGTGGCTAAAGCATCCTTTCAGGAAGAGAAAGGCCAAAGGCAAGCAAGTCCTCCTCAAGTGCTTGTGACGAAAACACCACCGGATCTCTTCTCTCCCAGTTTACCAGGCTTTGGGAAGTTTTACTCTCCCTAGTCTCCTTCTCTCATTCCCTTCTTCCCCGTTTCCCCCTCCCCTCAAAGAGTTTTATTTTAGCTTGATGGTGGGGATTCCGAAGAGGTTACTGGCAACTCCTGGGGCTGGCTTGGGAGTTCTGCCACCTCTAAGGGGACATCGCATGCTTTAGGTTCCTGTGTGTCACAGAGCTCTTCTCGTCCCTGGGGGGGCAAAAGACGTTCCTGGCTCTGGGCTTGGCTGTTCATCTTCTCTTCAGCTTCTATCTCTTCTGAGGTGGGGATGGAGTTCTTCTTGGGACGTCCTTTGGGTTTTGTGGGTGCTTCCTGACCACCTTTAAGAACCTACATGGGAAAGAAATGGTAATTAAATCTAAGAAATAAGTCCTTCCCTCCACTTTACCACTCAGCAACATCTATACCATTCCTTCCCAGCATGACAGAGTTTGCTAAAAAGTATTTTTAACCCATCAGGTCCAGTCTACAAAGACCTCTTCATTCTTTACATGAACGTTTAGTCAATATCACATATTTTAGCATTAAATAAAATGATCACAAACACGTAAAAATCCAACTTCAATAAGGAAAGAAATGAAAAGTAAAATATTAATATGGTATCCATGAAGTTGACAAGTTAAAAAAAGACAATATTTGTAGCAAGCAGGACAATAAACACTCATATTCCAGTGTCAAAGTGTAATCGGCAGAACCTTTTCAAAGGGCAATCTAAGAATTCGAATCAAAAGTTTTAAAATGAGCATACTCTGACACAAAAATTCCACTTCTAATAATTTAGCCTAAGACAGTCATCAAAGACAAAAATTGATCTGCAAAAATGTTCATCAGAACAGCAAAAATTTGAATAAAATTACCCTGAGTTCTCACCGTGACTAGGTAATTATAGTATACCCAAAGAGAGAATATTTGATGACCATTACAATTATTATGTAAGAGAATGTTTAATGACAGGGGAAATATTATTAATTTTTTTGTGTGAAAAACAGGTTATAAACCAGCATATTACAATTTGGAGGCTAGGTGACTATACACTACCTTGTTTATCCTGTTAGGATCATAAATAATTTTAATTTTTTTAATTTATGATTTTTCTTATTTTCTTATTTTTCAACAATGACCATGTATAAATATTTCTGTAATCCAAAGATGTTATAAAACAGTTTTGTATTGTTCAAAGAAGTAGTAGAGCACAGTAGAAAGCATTCTAGAGCTTTGAAAGTAAAATAACTAGATTAAATTCTAATTATTAGCTTTGTCCTTTAAAGACTCTGAGCTTCAGTTTCCTAATCTTTAAAATAGAGATATTAGTACTTTATCTCATAAGATGATGGTGAGAGTGACTGACAGATATGTATATAAAGAGTCAGAACTGTCCTGAAAGGAAGAATATGCTTTGCACCCTGTTCAGCTGGTTAACTCAGCTTAGACAGTGCTTCCCCTAAGCTCCCAAGTCTAAGTTAAATGCCCTCTACAATATGCCCTATGAGCTCCCTATACTCTCTCCATCAGAGCACTTTTCATAAAGGACAGTCACTGCATGCATATTTGCCTGTCCTTCCTACTCAGTCTCTGCACATAACAGGCATCAACAGTTACTGAGTAAACTAACCATTCTCTACAAGCCTTTCCATAAAGCTGAAGAAAGATATAAAGCAAGCAAAATAACAGTACCCCAAATGGCCTTTGCTGATTTCAAAGGACTTGCACATTATTACCCCAATTTGTGACTTACACAAGAATCCCAGGAAGATAGGCAAGAATAATTCTTAAAATATTTTTGTTACTTTGAAATATAACAGACACTCCTTCCTCCATTGACGCTGAACCCTGGCTAGGTGGAGTTTCTGATTTTCTGGGCAAGTAGTAAAAAAGGCTTCAGGAGGGCCTGGGTTAGCACAGATAATTAGGGGTGGGATATATTTTTGCTACTTATATACCTAGCTTCCTCTTATCTTCCCCATTTGAACAGAAACTCCCTGAAAGTAAATTTGGCATCTATCCCTTGCTTTGCACTCCAAGAATCTAACTTCCAACTAACCTTCTATGCAGTCACCAAATATTTATTGACTACATTTCATTCCAGTAACAACAGCAGAGGACTTCCAGGTGCTGAATTATAATAATGAATGCAGCAGCTTGATAAACCATAGTTCTTTAAAAATAATAATAATAATAAACAGCTTTATTGAGATAATTTATATACCATACATTTCATCCATTAATAATGTGCAATTTATTGATTTTTAGTATAGTCACCAAATTGTGCAACTATTACCAGAATCCAATTTTAGAACATTTAATTGCCCCAAAAAAGAAACCTCATACCCATGAGCAGCCACTCCCCATTTCTCCCCATCTCCCCATCTCTCCAACCCTAGGCAACCACAAATCTGCTTTCTGTCTCTATAGATTTCCCTATTCTGGACATTCCATATGAATGAAATCACATAATATGTCATCTTTTGTGACTGGCTTCTTTTCTTAGCATAATATTTTCAAGGTTCATCAATGTTATATAGCATGTATCAGTGCTTTGTTCCCTTTTACAGCCAAATAATATCCATTGTATGGATATACCACCTTCTCTTTACCCATTCATCAGTTGATGGACACTTGGACACTTGGGTTGCTTCCACCTTTTGGCTATTCTGAATAATGCTGCTATGGACACAGGTGTGCAAATATCTGCTCAAGTCTCTGCTTTCACTTCTTTCGGGTATATGCCCAGAAGTGGAATTGCTGGTTCACATGGTAACTCTATGTTTAACATTTTGAGGAGCTTCCATACTATTTTCCAAAGAAGCTGCACCATGTTATAGTCCAATCAGCAGTATGGGAGGATTCCAGTTCTCCACATCCTCGCCAATACTTGTTATTAAGTCTTTTTGATTATAGCCATCCTAGTGGGTGTCATTGTGATTTTGATTTGCATCTCCTTGATGACCAATGAAGTTGAACACCTTTTCAAGTGCTTATGAGCCCATTTTATATCTTCTTTGGAGATATGTCTATTCAAATCCTTTGTCCATTTTTCAATTTGGTTGTCTTATTATTGGGTTGTAAGAATTCCTTATATATTTTGGTTATAAGTCTCTCATTATATACAAAATTTGCAAATGTGCTCTCCCATTCCGTGTGTTATCTTTTCACTTTCTCGATGTCCTTCATATGTCCAATTTATTTTTTATTTTTTTGGTTATTTCTTTGCTTATTTTTTCTTTGGCTTTTGGTGTTATATCTAAGAAGATTCTGCCTAATCCAAGGTTGTGAATACTTACTTATATTTTCTTCTAAGAGTTTTATCGTTTTAGCTTATGCATTTAGGTCTATGATTCATTTTGAGTTAATTTCTGGTATGGTATGAAGAAAACCATAAACACCTCCTTTTAGCTTGGAATCTGATCAACCAGTGTACTTTCCACACAAGCGCAGAGATCTGAAAGAGATCTCTAACAAGGTATAGATACTGACAGAATCCACCTTTGGAGAGAAGAAGTCCCTATATTCCTTTTCATAGAAGTCATTATCTGATTTTGATTTCAGTGCAGGCTGTTGAAAGCACCTGAATGTGCCAATATGGTATTCACATGTTGAAAGCAGCTCCACTCGGTACGAAAGAGGTTATACAAAATTAAGTTGCCCCATGTAATAATCAAGTTATAAAACAGCAGGTCTAAGGAAGTCACCTAATTTGCAAGAGAGAACGCCACCCACACAGCTTGGATTGACCCCACCTGGCTGTTTTCCTATAGCACACACACACATACACAAAAAAAAAGTCAAAACAATCAGACCATTTTCTTAATGGAATAAAACATTCCAGTGCAAGCAATAATTAAGAGATAACTACTCTCTTGGCTGCTTTCTGCACCCGACCTCTGGCCCCCTGCCTTCCAGCACTCCTGAGACATGCAATTATCTCACTACCGCCCCACACCAGGAGCTGCATATTCTCATGCACTCTGTAGCTCTTCTCCCAGGACCTCCTACTCCCCAATTGTTCCATAGAGCCAATTTAGTACCCTTGTTCCTGACAGGCCAGACAACCCATTGCACACACACACAAGGTCACACATCTCTCGGAAAAACACCTAGCACATCATCCACTTTTATTAACCATGCCACTGACAGCCCTCCTCTGAACTTTAAACCTAGGTATCCCAATATCCTGTTGCTAGGGATGTCAGGACAAGGCCTTTGCTTCCTTCCCAAGGTGTTTAGGTAGGGGACAGGCAGTTGACTAGAGAGCCTTGAACTTCAGTGCAAGGAGGGGCCTTCTACCTTCCCCATTCAGAGAGGAACCTGAGCTGAGCAGGCAGAAGTGGTTCATCACTGTCAGAGAGCGGGCCGAGGGCAGGATTATTTCAACACAAAATCCCTGACCACTTGACTCTAACATTCTCACCTGTATTTCATTGTGTACAATGTGTGAGGGATACATAAAACGTGCCACTATTATTTCTCGCTCCAAAAGTTATCTGCAATTATCCATTCTCCCAGCGGACTCTGGGCCACAGACTTATTACCTAGAATGCTTTGTGCTCCTTTTCCTCAATCTTTACCTGCAGCTCTATGGAAAAGTGAGAGCCATATTACTGATAACTGTTTCTATGGAGCTGAGAAGCAAGATTCTTTAGCATGAATCTTTTCCAAGCACACTGTGTAGCCGACTTTCTCCACTTGAAGATAGGGTGTTCCACCATACCATAAGCCCAGATGGTGAAGCCCTGACAGAGGAAAGGCTGGCAGAATGAGAAAGGATGAACACCCAGTACTGCTCTTAATCAGAATTCCAGGAATCTGGCTTATTTCTCCTGGCCTCCAAAAGTCTAGATTCTCTGGAGATGTGAATTTTATGGATAAATAATTAATTTTTAAAATAAGAACAGCAGCAATATTTCTTGGCTATATACTATGCAGAAGGCACTGTTCTAAGTTTTAGAGGGATTAGCTCAGTTAATACCACAACTTTATAAGGTATATATTAGGCATTTACTATGAAGAAACACACACAGAGGTTAAGTAACCTGCTCAAGATTACACAGATAGCAACCACTAGCAGTTTCACGGAATTGTTGATTATCTAAAGACTGTAAGTGCAAAAGATGATGATGGCACATGGTATGTGGCCCACCCAACTCTGTGACTGAGAGAGGAAGGCTGTATCTATCTGGATCCCCTCACAAAGCAGAATTCTATTTGTATTGTATTTCAGAGTTGAAAAAGACTACTGAATAATGAGGCATTTTAAGCCCGTTGCAAAACACTGAGTTCTACTGGAACTAAAGCCAAACAGAAATGGAATAGAGGATGAGTATCTCATCTCATGTGCAAGATTAAATTTACCCAACCTGCTATAGGTTACAAATGCTGCCTGGTAAAAACTAGTCAGAGATGCTATCTTGGTTTTGGCAGCACTGTCGTTGGCAGGCATGTGTGAATAACTCTGAGAATCAAGTGCTAATCTTTTTCCAGTTCCAATTAGGTTACTAGCCTTGAGACATCTTTATTACCCAATTATCCTTTTCTTTTCTTCCCCAGTACCCGAAGAGATAGAAAGATTTTTACCAGGAAAATACATGAAGCAATCAGGATCCCAACAATGCCTTGCTGTTCTAGGAGAGGAGGAACCCACACCCACAACTAAACAACATTTCTCACGTTTTGGCTCCAGCCATTCTGAAGTACTCTTGAGTGTCCCGAAATCCTTCTGTCCCTTCCTTCTGCCTGTGCCACTCTTCTCACCTTCAAGTGGCACATTTCTATTCATCCACTAAAACCAATTTAGGGGGCACCTCTTCTGTGGAGCCTTCCCTTCTCTATACTGACTCTGAACCCTGTAAATCTTTCTGCTGTTGCCCTGATCACTCTGCATAATTACTGGTTTACATGTCTGTCTCCCTCACTTGACTGAAAACTTTTTCTAATTTTATATTTTAATGGATAGGTTCGTATCTTATCTTAGCACCTCTACTGCCTCGTGAAAATAAGTGCTCAATAAAAAACATTTTCAAAAGTGACTGCTAAAGTTAACTGAAAACTTGGCACTCTTATTTTCTCAAGTAACCTGAATTTGGTTGGCCTGTGAAATGCTCTCTTGAGGTTAAATCTACTAAGTTCCTTCCATCTTGTTCTATATGATAACCATCAATAACCGGCCCACAATTGTGTCAGCGGTACAGTGGCTGGTGAAAAACAAATGACGTCAGAGGCCCGGGCACACACGTCGTCCCACGGGCACTGGGCGGTGCTGGTGGAGATGGCAGGCTGTCAGTTCATTAATCATCTGACTCATTAAAAGATTGTTGATAATCTATTTAAACAATGCCTCTGCCACTGGGGAGACATTGATTTATCCTGTCTAATGATGATGATTGATGAGGAAGGAGGTGGAAGGCTGAACTTGCACAGAAAGCAGTGAAGGGACTTGCCCAAAATCAGCCAGGGAGGGGCAAGCGTAGGAACACAGCCCAGTGTTTCTAACTCCCAAATCTGATTATTTTAGAGATCAATGCCCCCAAAAGGTTCCCGCCATAAGTCTCATGCGTATCTTAGCATTCTAGAAGTTTTAGAGTGACTATATATTTAATCAAATCCTATTCATCCTTCAATGTCAATTTCTCCCTGCAACAGTCTCTAGTACCTCTCATCTGAACTCTTATGGGGTTCTAAATATTTAAATAAACAACCGAACTCAATTATAAGGTGCTCCCTGGTTGCCTCCTGGACCTTGGTTCTCCAACTAGATCATAAATTCCATGAAGGCAGGGTTATATTTCATTTCATTACAATGTACAGTGTCTAGGACAAAGCATGGTTCACAAGAGACATTAATTGCATATTTGTTGATTCATACAATATATGTTTGTACATGCAACTGGCATCTCCACCTCACTGCAGGAGTACTTCATGAGTCAAGCCGGTTCCATCTGAAAATCCTTCCATCTTCAGGGTCAGGTCCCCCCAGAGGAAATGATGAGATTTGCCCAGAAATTTCTTTCTGGGAATATAATAAATGCTGCCTTGTTGGCTTTTCCATTAATATTCATTTGTGATTTATTTATTTTTCACATTGTTAGCAGGCATAGCAAGAACTAAAGTTTTAAGAAAAACTATTAGACAAAAACACAAAATTGAGAAAATGTCTCAATATCTATTATCTATTACAAAATATCTATTAACTTTATTTTTAAAAAACTAGGTGGGAAGGATCTTAGTTATTTGGTAATTGTGAAAAATTTCATGTTCCAGCCCTTAAAACAGCAGAAAATATGGCTTTTGACCAGATAGGTTAGCAAATTAGAACATTATCCACGCAGCCCTGGACTGCTTGGTCCATGTGAGAGGAGGAAGGGCCAGTAAGATTTGGTGAGGATATAAGAAAGGCCCAGGTTAGAGGCCTTGGTGTACCTGGCCTCTAAAGAATAGAGTAGAGTTTCCTCCCACCCTCACCCCACCCTGCCTCTTTTCTCTGGCTTTGATCTTACCCCTTGTGATTTACAAAACTGAAAATGAAACATTTGACTACTTTGGAAAATTTCTATTTAACAGTGCTTCTAAAAGGGGGGAGCAGGTAGACTGCTATAAAATTGTGTTCCTCAAAATGTAGAGATGTTTATGCTTTTTTAAAAAAGATATTTATTCTATAGAATTCATTTAAAAACCAAAAATGGAACAATTCACTAGCTAGGCACTAGAACAATATTAGGGAAACCACAGTCATTCTACTGTGTGCCTTGGAGGAATCCAAGAGTTTGTTAACATGCACATTCCCACCCCCGTCCTGGGACAGAGAATTAGAATCCTGGGAGGGGCCTAGAGTTCTGCATTTTTACCTGCTATCCAGGTTATTTTGATGCTCACTAAAGTTTGAGAATCACTGCATTAGACAACACACAGCTATAAGAACAGATGTACCCTATATGTCATTATACACAGAGTACTGACTTCTATTCTCAGCTATTGGTGGGAGGGGAAGGAAGTACTTTGAAAAGGCTAGCAGGTGGGCTTAAATCTAGCAACTGAGAAGCTTGTTGGCTTTCATTTTCTTTTATTTCTAAGGAAACTGAAAAAAGAATATTCTTCTGGTCAAGAAATCCAGGTCAAGAGGAATAGTTTATCCTTCTGTTCACATAGCCTCCCTCCCAGCCAACACCATAAAACACCTTCCAGTCTCTGGAGCCCAACCCACCAAATGGTCCTTCCTGCCTTCTCAGTCATGTAGGAAGAATCTGTCCCATCATGATGGGCACATGGTTAGACTCGCTGTCTTCTTTCTTACCATTTTCTTCCATTTCATCCTGCGATTCTGATACCAAGTCTTCACCTGCAGTTGAGTGAGTCCCAGAGACTGGGCCAAGTCCAATCTAGAAGGTACAAGAGACAAAAGAAGAATGAAGAAGGAGAGATGAGGGCAGAAGAGATGGGGTCCTATTGATTGGTTCTGGGCACTGCCACCAAAACTTGGACCTTCCCCATTTAACCAAGAATCCTATGGAAGAAACTCTGGGAAGCTAGAAACAGATACCCATGTACAAGGACTGTCTACATTAGATCTGAAAAGAATTTCTGAGCCTTCACTGCAAAGTTTCTTCCCTGATCTGTCAGAGTCTTTACTTTGATTCCAAACAAAATGAAGACTTACTCAGAATTGAAACTGGGAAAGAAAAGTAAAGCCATGTTTTCCTTATCAGAATCTTACTCATCACTCCAAATCCAGTTCAAATTCCACATCCTGCAGGTGAGCCTCCTGGACAACACCCAGCTCACAGGTTGTCTCCTCTACACTCTCCCATGGTCAGCTACCACCCAGGTGGCTCAAAGTTCTCAAATGGTCTCTAATTGCATCACATCAGTTCTTTCTGCCTAACTCAACGGCAAGAGCCGAGTATATCTCTTGCTTCTTTTATAATCACAGAAGTGCCTTTCACATTCTAAATCCAGAACTAGGGCTCGAAAATACTTTTCAATGGGTCGACTCATTCATTGTAGCTGCCCTAAGTTGTTATGATGCCAGATTCCAAAATAAACTAAATCATAACCTCTCCTGCTTCCCATTCTACTGCTCACCTTGGTTCTGCATTTCTCTGTAGCCTTCTGAAAAGTCCTGAATCTCAAGCCATCCTGGGAGGTGTGCAGTTGGAGCAAATTCCAACAACATAGTAACTATTTCCTGAGTACCACAGCATCCAGACTACGTGCTAAGCCCCTGACACGTGCTATCTTATTTATTCCTTTCACAACACTGTGAAGTAAGTATAATTATTCTCATTTTATAAATGAGAGATCTGAGGCTCAGAGAGATTAGAACCTCTCAGTAACCATGGCCAAATCCTATCAGCTACCTGTTTCTGTACATAAAGTTTTATTAGAACACAGATACGCTCAGTCAGTCACATACTATTGTCTATGGGGGCTTTCATATTACAAACTCCAAGTTGAGTAGCTATGGCAGAGACCACATGGCCAACAAAGCTTAAAATATTTACTCTCTGGCCTTGTACAGAAAAAGTTTACTAACCCTGGTAGATGATCCTAGAGTAAGAGGTGGAGCCTCCAAATCTACTTACGTCTGACTTGTACATCTCCTCTGGTATAGGGGCTCACCTCCACTTGTCATATTTTTGTACAAGTTAGATCTGCCAAAGGGAAGCTCTTGCTCAGGCTTTAATGGAGAAAATGCAGGGATGCTACACCACAAGGAGTAGCTAACAACCCGAGTGGAGCATATGAAATGAGAAAGGGAACCAGTCTTCCAACCTCAGTGCTTGAGACTATAACTGTTGACCTATCTTGATAAGAACCCCAGGTCTACCCAAGCGCCAACCGGAGGGACCACCTCCTGAGCCAACATTAGCTGCCTCGCTGTGGTTCTAATCCTGATCATTGAAGCAATGTGGATCTCTAAAGCAGCAACTTGGGCCAAGCACCCTTAATATAGTTTGAGTAGTGACCACCACTTTTGAAGGTCTCCAGGTTTCTGAGGATTGCAATTTGTGGATCTAAGATCTATTATCTCACACAGACCTGCATAGCCAGAATCCTGAACCATGGGGCCTCTCAGGTGTGAATTCTCAGCTGCAATTCTCTACTTGAGGGTTACTCAGCAACATCTCACCATTAGGAACACCAACAGGTACAGGCAATGAAGGTGCCAGGTGCTAACTCTTGGCACTCCCAGTTGTAGAAGCCTAACCCCTGTAATAGTGCACGATTTAAATCTCCAATAATAAAAACAGTCTTCCTTCAAGGGGCTTCAGAACCTGTCTTAAATTTGCATTCACATATATCTGGTTGTCCCAGTGAAAGAGCTACTGGAAGCTGACAGTTTTATTGAAGGCAATTAACAGACAAGCTAATAAATTCCCAGTGCCAATAGCACTCAGCTCTCCCCACTAAAAGCATTGCTTCCCAAGCAGCCATTCATTAAGAACCAAGAACATGGGGACAATCCCCCAAGACTTCCTATCTCCCAGGCCTCCCTGGAGACAGGTCCTCCTGGGCTCTTACTGTGCCTTCGCCCAACCCAGTTCACCTGAGGCCATCAGGTGCATTTGTCAATGGAAGGTTCAGTTCACAGCTCTGCCACTGTTACCAAATGGTGTTAGCTCACTTGGGAAAAATGCACCCTTGACTCACTCTGGCTACAGAAACACATTTCACTGTCATCAGCTTTCTCTCATTACCTGCCACCGTTACAAATTCTCACTTCCCTGCGTATTCGCTTAAGTGGGGTCTCCTAGGAAACCACAGAAACAAACAATGAGGAAGAGGGAGAGAGCTGTGGGAGGAGAGAGTGCTCATGGCCCTGGTCACGTACAGAGGTGAGGAACATCTGAGAAGGCAGGTTAAGGCGGCAGCTTCGATGCCAGCCAAATGGTGTCCTCCTCCCTAGGCAAATGAATCAATCCTGTCTAGGTCACCTGAGAGGTGCCTAGGCAGGTATCAGAAAGCCCCAAGAGGTTTATTAGGAACTAATATTTCTCTTTAAAAATTCTGACTTCTAGAAAATAAGCCCAAAATTTTACTCATGCACACTGAAGCCCTTTCAACATACCACCGCACAATTCATAAATAATGGTGCTGACTCCACGCAGCTGGCCAAGTCCATAAGGCTCTTCATCACAGGCTGGGAGTATCAAAATAGCTATATGAAACCTAGAGATCCCCAATTTACAAACTTGTCTCCATTGCCCCCCTACAGGCACCCCAAATGCCCATGTCCAAAACAAAATTCACTCTTTATCTGCAAAATCCACTCTGTCCTCAGCCTTCCAACTTCAGCTAAAAGTATCCCTATTTACCTAGCAGTTCAATTGAGGAACCACAAAAATCTCAATTCCTGTTTCTCTTCCACATGGCAATGTCAATCCTATTCATTTCATCTTCAAAATTACTCTCCAGTCCATTCTCTCCTCTCCATTCCCACTATCACCACCTTCATTCAGGTCTTCAGTGACTGTCCCTGGACTCCCTGGTGCCCCTGCTCCATCTCTTCCCTCTATAATCAATCATTTATGGTGCCACCAATGCAAGAATTCTAAAATGTAAATCTGTCACAGATCATAAAGAGGCATAAACGAAGGAAGGGAAAGAAGAAGCAACTCAAGACCTAAAATCATGTCGCTTCCAGCTCTTAATGGCTGCTGATGGACAGCCTAAACAACAAAGTGCACATCCTTTGGCCAGGCATATGAGGTCTTCCCACCTCCACAGCCTCATCTTCCACCAGGCCCCGACTCACACCTTAAACTAGAGATGTCCCGACCACTTGCAGTTCCCTCAACGTGCCCAGTGAGCATGCTTCTGCGCTTATGGATGGCATTCCCTCGCCATCTTTGAATCAAAGCTCTTCTTAAATGTTTCCTCCTCTGAGATGCCTTTCCTAGCCCCACTAACACATTCAGCAATATCTCTGTGCTCCTACTGCCCTCAGTCACATATCAGCACCAGCACCCAGCTCACCGTGTTATAATATTGCAGTCACTTCCTTACCCATAATTTCACAGAGAGTAAGACTCCTGTCTACTACTTTATGGGCCATAATTCCTGCCACAGTGCCTGGCACAGAAGACCCTTAGCTAACAGCTGATGGGCACTTAATTGAATCAATTAACAAATTCTCTTTTAGTCAGTGATTTGCAGACTCCTCTCTCACTTAAATTTTTATCAAATAGCTACTAAATAGCTTAAGAAATGCATTTGAGTTTCCTTCCCTTTCTCTTTAACAGCACTGGGGTCAAAACTGATGTAGACAAGGCAGTGAGCAAAGAAGAGAAAAGGGGCCTGAAAAACCCTCCCAATAAAAATAGGATCACGATGAACTCAGCCATCTCCAGAGTGAGTTTGAGGAACAAAATAGACACACACACTCTTGCATATTTTGCAGTTAAGATACTAAATTAAAGAAAGGGGGTGAGGTACTGAAGACTGAGTAAAGAAGGGGTCACAGACACCCTCATCTGGATCTCAAAAGGGTTTAAAGAAGGGGATCTCATCCAGGTCCTCCTCAGTCTCAGCCAAGTGGTTCTGACTTGATATCCATCAAATTCACCAGGACATCTGACAGCCCCTCAACACGATCAATCCAGCCTATGCATCAAATGCCAGGCAGCAGACCAGGCCAGCCAGGTGCTGGAGAGTGGGGAGTAGACTGAGATCATGGATTCAAATTCCAGATCTAGTCCCATTGCATTTGATCGTAAGTGTAAATGGCATTTAAAACCAAGCCTGCACCCCAACTGAGAGCCTGGCAACTATTTACTAAACTTGACCTTGTTTTCTACATTGGAGTAGGTAAAATATGGAGAGAGAGTGAGGAGTAAAAATTCACCAACATTCAGTCTCTTATGGGGCCAAGTGTGATGAATTCATGCGGGCTGGGTTCTGTTAAACCAAGGCTAAGATGATGGATGTGAGCCAAGGAATAGATTCCTGCCGTAGTATCCTGCATATACATCCTTCACTGAAAGCAAAAGAAGTCTCGGGGGCCTTAACTGCAGACAGGCCCATCTCCATGTCCTCACCTGTCTGGAGTGGACAAATACTTCTGCTTCTGGAATTTCTTCTCCAGGCCCATGAGCTGAAGCTCAGTGAAGATGGTGCGACTCCGACGGGGCTTCTTTTGCCGGGGCGTGGGCTGCTCCGTCTCCGACTCGCTGCTGCCTAGAGCCTCACCACCTGGGGCCTCAGCAGAAGCAGCCTCAGCAGCTGGGTGGTGGGACAGTGCCTGGGAGATTCCTGGGGTGGCAGGGACCAAGTGGGAGATGACTGTGGGCTGTCGGGTGATCACTGACAGGAGAGGATAAGCCCGGAGGGAAGCAGGGCCTGAAAGACAAACAGGGAGGCAGGTCACACAGAGAATGGGGTGGAAAGAGGCCAGAGGCCCCTCAGAAGACCACTTGCTGAGACTGACAAACTGGTGGGGCTTCCAGACCATAGAGGTATAAATTAAGGAAAGGAAAGAAGAAGCAACTCAAGACCTATAATGGCTGGATGGGCAGGAAATACTGATTTGCTCAGCCTGGTGTGTGAGAACATTCCAGTTCCACATGGCCAAGAAGATGTTCCTCTGGTTTTAAGTGAATCTTTTCCCTTTCTCTCCCTTTTGAAACCTTAAATTCTGGTTTCCGAGATATGGGACTGAGCATATGAAAAGGAGTGGTAAGAAAAGGCTAGAAACACATACTTAAGAAATTCAAAATAGGTTGTAATATATGAACTACCTGAAAGCCACCCGTGGACTTTATAAAACTACATGGTTGTAACTATGAATGCCTCTTGAGAGGTCTATACCTTGAATCATAACATTTTTCAGAGCTGGAAGGATGCTTAAAGGCTATTTAATTCAACTCTCTCATTTCAGACACAAGGAAACAGTCCCATAAAAGCTGAGTGACTTGCTAAGATCTTGGAACAAGCAGATTCAGGAATCAAACCAAGTTCTTCCGGCTTGAAGTCCAGTGCTCTTATCACCACATGTCGAATCACATGGATACATCGTTGAGACAAGGGGAAAAACATGACTTTAATTCACATGAAAACTCAGACACATCATTACTAGCTGCCTTGAGCACTGTGTTAAGGAGGATTCTCAGACTGGGTTAGAGCTTGGCTGAGGGAAGATGACTGAGGTTGACTAACATCGTCTGCCATGGGCATGCAGGGGAGGGGAGTATGGTAGCAGACATATTAGTTATGTGCCGCTCCTGCTTTAGGAATTTCAAAGCAAGAGTACTTTTCTGTCCAAGACTCTGTTATGTCTTTAAAGTTCAAGTAAAATAGCTCTTCCCTCTCATGATTCAACAGTACAAGTTTAAAATGTCCTGACCATTACCTATATAAATCATTTTCTCTCTCTGGGTCTCAGTTTTGTCATTTGTATACTGAGTAAAAGTAGATCATTTTGAAGAATCCTTCAAACTCTAACAACTGATGCCACGAAAGCACCTCTCATTCCAAACCCATCTTGATATCTGACAAAAATTGAGAAGACTCAGGGGCTGCCCTCTGGGACTCAGCCCAGCCCTGACAACTCACTACAAGGGCAAAGCAAGAACCTGAGCCAATGACACTCACAATGGTTCTGGATTAAAACCAACCAACATCACAAAGCACCAGGTGCTACTTGTGTTCACTCTCTGAGTTGGCGTTTCTCTTCTTATTCATGCCTATGCTTCTGTTTTGGACTCTGTCATAGTTATTAAAACAGATGACTTCTTTTGTTCTTTGACTGTAGTTCTAGTCTGGCTTAGTAGCAACCACAAAGTTGTTAAATAATAAATCACCAAGAGCTACGACTTCCAGTAACTCTCCAGCCAATGTTAACACTTGAGATTTTGTGTTGTGCATTCTTTTTAAGAAAGGAAAAAAGCATCTGGGAATGATATTTTAAAGCAAGAAAATAAGGATATCTGAGCCAATGGTTTTGGATCTACCAGTATACATTATGAAATACCACTTCTTGAAAAAAGTATCTGAAAGTTTCTTACACAGGCATAAGATGCTTTTCATCTCAAATCATCACTTTACTCCTTTAATCCCACCACGTCTTTCAAAAGAAATTATCTTTCTTTATTAAGGAGGCTAACTTATAATCTGGAAACCTAAGAGCCTATCAATATAGGAAGTGGCTAGCTAAGGTGTTAATCACCAGAATTTCCACTTTGTCTTTAGTTAAATAATTTTTTGCCTAAAATTGAAAAATATTTTGGAACAGTGGTAATATTTAATTTTAGCAAGAATATGAGGAAATGGGTACTCATATTGTTGGTGAGTGTGTAAAACAGTATTATCTTTGAGAAGGACAAATTAAGCAAATTATTGATGAAACAATTCCACAATTTGAGACCTATTTGCTAGGTGCACAAAGATTTATGTACAAGCATATTCACTGCAGCCTTGTTTACAATAGTGGAAAGGGGGAAATAACCCACATATCTATCAACAGCAAAATGGTTAAGTAAATTGTGGTACATCTATAGTATAGACTACAATGTAACTGTTAAAAGAATAATCAATATGAACTGATAGGTAAACTACACATAAACTAACATGAGAAAATATCTAAAATACATTATTGAGAGAATATTGAGGTATAGAACAATTTGCATTATCTTTTTTTAAAATCTGCATGTGTGTCTGCCTTTATGAATGCATTTTTAGAAGAAATCAGGAAGTCATCAAACTATTAACAGTGATTCCTTCTAGAGAAGGAGTAGGTTCAAAACAAGTGAAAGGGAATCTACATGTATTAATCTAATCCTGTATTCAATCTTGCCATAAATATTCAGTGAGCATGTACTATAGGCTGTACTCTGATTTAGAAGCTGGAGATACAGCAGTGAATAAAGTCCAACCTTCACAGGGCTTACATTTCAGTCAGGGAGGTAGATAACAACAAACAAAGAAATAAATATATAATGCTGGGTAGTGATAAATTATATGAAGACAAAGATAGCAGACTGTGAAGATGGGCAGGTATTTTAGATAGGTGAGTCAAGGGAAGGACTCTATGGAAAAGGTGACATTTTGGCAGGTAAGTGACTCAGTGGAGAGGAGAGCCTTGTGAAGATACAAGGAAGAATAAGCACCCCAGGCACAGAAACAACTCATGCAAAGCCCTGAAGTGGGAACAAGCTTGTGATCAAAGAATAGCAAAAAGGCAAAGTGAGCAAGGGTTAAAAAATCATAGGAAACAAAAATTTGGAGAACTCTGCTCCAGTCAGATCATATAGGGTCTTGTAGGCTAGAGCAAATAATTTGAATTTTATTCAAAATATGACAAAACCATTGATGAGATCTGAGCTGAGGAAGGATGTGGTCTGATTTATGTCTTTAAGTTACCTATGGCTAATGTGTGGAAGACTGCAGGGAAAAATGCGGAAGCAGAGAAGTAAGTTAGGAGGCAAGGCAATATGCCTTGCTAGACCAGAGGTGACTATCGAGTGGGCCAGAAAGGTAGCAGATGCAGTAAGGAGAGGTGGGCAGATTCAGGGTGCACTTTACATTTAGCGTTGAAAGAACTTGTTGAAGGGCTGAATGAGAGACAGTGGCCATGTGAGGCCTGGGTTTTTGGCCTTAGCAACTAAAGGAATGACAGTGCTATTTACTAAGATGGGAAAGACTGGGCTAAGAACAAGATTAGGTGGGAACATTTTTTATAAGCTGACAATATCAAGTGCTGACGAGGATGCAGAGCAGCTAGAACTCTCATACATTGCTGATGGGAATGCAAAAGGATATATAGCCTTTTTGGAAAGCAGCTTGGTAGTTTCTTATAAAGTTAAACTGTATTTTACCATATAACCAAGCAATCCTTTCTCCTAGGTATTAAACCAAGTGAAAAGGAAATGCAACAACCTACACACAAATGTTTATAATGATATTATTAGTAATTACCAAAAACTAGATATGATCCAAATATCCCTCAGCTTGGGATGGATGGATAAACTGTGGTACATATATACAGTAGAATATAATTCAGGAATAAAAAAGAAACAAACTACTGATACATGCAACATCATGGATGAATCTCAAATGCACTGTGCTAAATAAAAGAAGCCAGACTCAAAGGGCTGTATAAGACCATTTATCTAACATTCTGAAAAAGGCAACACCAGAGATGGAGAAGAGAGCAGTGGCTGCCAGATTTAAGGGTAGGGGAAGAATTTGACTACAAAGCAGAGACACAATGAAACAGGGACGGGGTGGGTGAAGTGATGAGACTGTTTTGTATCTGCATTGTAGTAGTGATTATACAACTTTATGCATCTGTCAAAGCTCATAATTGTACACTAAAATAGTATATTTTTACCAAATATAAATTTAAAATAAATTTATTAAACAAAAACAAAAATGTCAAGTTTTAACCGCAATTTTGTTTTTATTACCAAAGTAACACAATTTATTATAAAAGAAATTTAAAACAATTCAGAAATATATAAAGTAAAAGTCTCCTTTCACTGCTTTCAATCTCAAATCTTAGAGATAAATTTCGTAACTGTTCCTATGTACACACATGTACCTACGTTCCAAATATAGTAACATGTATGCTAATCTATTGACAAACATAGTTATAAAGTGTTCATTTTGTAAAATATAAATATCACCTTGTTTTTTTTCTAAATAGATAGCAAACAATCACAAAACCACATATTGACTAGTCCAGTAATTTAAAATGCCAGTTTTAAGATACAGTAACTTCCCAGAGAAATGAAGTTGGGAAATTTTTTGTTCATCAGAATTCTAGGAGTCTGCTAGGGAATTTTAGTCACCAGAATTCTGAGAATCTCCCTCTCTGTAGAAAAGCAGCCGAACTTGGAAAAGTACTACCCTTCTCAAAGGCTGCCTCTGAGGGGGTGGTCACAACTAGGGAAGGCAACTGTGGTGCTGCCACATGAAGGTGTGGGTGTGAGAGGAAGAAGGGCTTGGGGGAGGTGAGAGCTAGGAAACCACGTGGATCAGAGAGAGGTCAGAGTTTTAGAGGCTGCCATGAATCTGCAACACTGGGGAGAGTGAAAGCTACTTAAAAAGGATTTCTGAAAATCATTTTAGGGGGTATACTGTATAAAATCCATGAATATCCTCCCTTAAGAAAAACTAAAGATCTTCATGTTCAAGATTCCTTGGTCAGATTTCTGTTCTTTGAATATAATTCTGTACATATACTGGGCCATATGGGGCCCTAGAAATAGTTGGGTTATATTATATATACATGTGTCTGTTTCTGGACTGTGTTCTGTTCTATGGCACTAATATATGAGCCTATTATAGGACCACTCCACTTCATCATTGTGGATTTTTTAGAGAGTTTTGTTACTGAGTAG